TACCCAATCTATCCCCCACCAAGATGTTTAAGGCGAGAACGTCTCGCCTATGAATCTTCAGGTACAGCTTGGCCAGTAATATCAGGTGTGGATACTTTGAGACATGGGAACATTCTTGCAGCTATCTACTGGCTAGACAACAAAGGTATCTCAGTCTGTAGATAGTTCGTGACAACTTGGTCATCCAGGCGCCTATCCACAGGTGGGATAAAGTGCAGCAAACGCAGTGACTGCTGCCGTCTCAAGGGAAAATCAAGCCTGAGCTAGGACTGCAGAGGCTTTAAACGGGGTCACAAATAATAGTCATGAATAGAGTACTTACCACCATCCTGGGCATCCGGGCAGACAAAATACCTGGAAATGAGTGAAGCACAAATGCTTACAGTGCCTTGCATAAGAAACTGAACATCGCATTTCCGCGCGCGTTGTTTGTCCGCGCCAAATATACCCTTTTCGGGTATCGGCAAATGTGCGGCAAAGACCCATCGAGAGGGAGGGTAGCTAGGCATACAGCTGGGGGCAGAGTATAATGATTTACAGCCCTTAATGTAGTGGTAGAATATACATTTCATGTATTCTCTGAAGCCTTTCGAGCCCTCTCGGGGCGTCTGCGAGTCCCTGCCCAGCAAACGGTCCCGCGAGAGGCCTTCCGGACCTACCCGAAAAGGGTATATTTGGCGCGGACAAACAACGCGCGCGGAAATGCGATGTTCAGTTTCTTATGCAAGGCACTGTAGGTTGCTGTTACAGCCGCTTGCAGATCGATAGACCATCAATTCAGAGAACCACGTATAGTCGGAGTGGGTCGGAGTGGGTGCCAGGGACGTCGGAAGAAGGTAGAGAAGTCCAGATGGCCTGATTTCTGTCTCTCGAGGACTTGAAATTGGCTGTCCGACGTGGTCCGACTGTAAATGATTTTTGAAAAGTGGGCCCATCGATCTGCAACTGGCTGTAATTCTAAGTATCTCTATGGTAGCGGGCTCTGCCGTGCTCGCACGGCCTTACAGCTTTATAAGTACATTATTTTCTGGGAATTTCGAGTATTACCGAAGCACGTGCTACTATAATGATCGACGCAAATAGGTGCAAACTGCTTAAGTCATGCAAATTTCTCGCGTTTCTGCACTAAGTCCGTCATCCGGGACCTACGCCGTCAGGCTTGTACTGCTGCTTTCCTCCTCAGACTCCAGCCTTACTGAGCCCTTACGCTATAGATGCCTGGTCGCTTGCCTCCTCAAGGCTCACTGTCGTTCATCGGGTCTTATGCCAGTTCACGTCAACAATGTCTGAAGGCTTCTCGTGCCATATGTGCTAGACGAACTTTGGTCAATTCGAGCTGGAGATGTACGTCTAGTCCTGTTGCTGGGCCATCGTCCAATAGGTTAGGCAAGAAGGTGCGTCGCTTAGCTTATTGTGTATGTTTGGCACTCACCCACTACACGTCACCAATACGGATATTCAGCGCAACTTCCATGCCTCAGCTCCCAACTTGGCGTCCCAGAAGGACCCATACGCCGTTCTCGGGGTGAAGAAGGATGCCACTCAAGCGGAAATAAAGAAAGTTTATTTCTCCGTACGTTGATGCTTGACAGTTTAATACGGCATCATTAATCTTCTTCCAGCTCGCCCGCAAATACCACCCGGATACGAATCCCGACAAGGATGCGCAGGCTAAGTTCTTAGAGATCCAGGAAGCATATGATGTAAGAGTACAACAGCTTATGCAGCCTGCGACTGTCTAAGTACTGATTCATATTGCTTGCCAATGCCGTTGGCAGATACTCAAGGACGAAAAGAAGAGAGCTGCTTACGATAAATATGGGGCAGCCGCGCAGCAACCGGGATTTGATCCAGATGCGTATGAACGTGCGCGTAACAGCTTCGGTGGTAGTTTCGGCGGAGGTTTCAGAGGCTTCGAAGATCTTGGTGCTGCCTTCGGGGCTCGTGGCGGTCAGGGTTCTGCTGACTTATTTGAGCAATTATTTGGGGCATTTGGTGGAGGGCCGCGACGTGGACCTGTGCGAGGAGAGGACCTAGAAACCACCATTGGCATTAGCTTTTCCGAGGCCTGCAAAGGTACCAAGCGGACGATAACGATTACACCGGTGGTGGAATGTGCGACGTGCTCAGGCAGTGGTCTGAAGGCGGGCTACAAACGTACTCGCTGTACTGTTTGCAATGGCACTGGTACGCGAACCTTTACCATCGAGAGCGGTTTCCAGATGGCAAGTACTTGTATGGCCTGTGGAGGAACTGGGAGCACTGTCCCACGGGGCAGTCAGTGCGATGATTGCTCTGGTATGGGTAAGGTCAGAGCCAGGAAGACTGTTCCCGTGGATATCCCTGCAGGCAAGTCGATCGTAGCACTCGAGTTTCTCGTCATTCTGAAGAGTGCCGCATGCAGGCGTGGAAGACGGGATGACAATCCGTGTGCCTAACGCTGGCGATGCGCCTGCAAGTGGCAAAGGACAACCTGGTGACTTGCTCATTAGGGTACATGTAGCCCCATCCAAACAATTCCGGCGTCAAGGCGCCAATCTTTACCACGAAGCTAGGATACCGGTGCATACCGCTCTATTGGGTGGTAGGGTGCGGGTACCTACTTTGGATGGCGAAGTTGACGTACGCGTTCCCGGCGGAACTCAACAGGGAGAAGAGATGGTTCTAAAGGGTCGTGGTGTTCAACGAGTATTTGGCGGCGATAAGGGAGATCTCTTTGTCACATTTTCTGTCCAACTACCCAGGTGAGTCGCAGCTTCTCACAGATGTCGCCGGGCTCATCGAGAATACCGGATTGCAGATCTCTCACAAAACGACAACGTGAGATCTTGCAGCAATACGCTGACGACGTCGAAGGCCGGCCCCCTTCGACTTCGGGAGCTGCTTCACAAGACTCAGCGCCTAGAGCTACTACGAGTGATCCGCCGTCAGGCGGTGAACAGAAGTCTTCTACTTCGCATGATAACGGTACGACGTCTTTCCTTCACACGTCCCCGTCCTCTGGAGAGGACGGCTGGATGTCTCGTTTGTGGAAGAAAATACGAGGGCTCATTGGATCTTGATTTGTCCTGTTTCAAATGCTTCGCCACGTTCCGCGATGGTTTGATTTCGCTCGTTCATCTCGCTATGGACCACAGACGCACCGGCCAAAGAAGCTGGCTCCGAGGCCGACGACACATCCGAAGTAGGGGAACGAAAGAGAGCGACGGCGTAGCTGTCACACGTCGTGTGTCCGTCCGTATGACGCCCGGAGGACTACGAGGACTGAATCGGTAATAGATAATGATGTATAGCTCGTAATAATATGGGGAGTAGGAAGGATGATCCAGATCTCGTAGGAAGCGCGGAGTGCTAAAAAGGCTAATCCGCTAAAGCTTGTCCCCCCGCTGAAGCTTCGGGCGATGCTGGCCCATATTGCCCGACCGTAGCTGAGGTTTGGTGTTCAGTTAACGTTCTCCCTCCGGTCGTAGTACGTCAAGAGAACAAGCTCTGCCGCCAAGCCATGGGCACCGTTAATAATGGACGATCTTGCGAAGCTTATCTTCTGGGCCTCGGTCTGCGCGGTCTGGGGGTGATGGAAACGATTTCGCTGGCTTTCCCTGCCCGAAATAAAGGATCGTCCTGCCGGTACCTAGTTACTTATTCCTATGTTAAACGTCTTTGGACTTCTAGACCTCTGAGACTCCGACCGATTTCTCGTCCCAGGACCTCAAAATATGGAGAACTCTTTTACGACAGGGCTTCTAGCTGCGTTCACTCAGGGCCGCTCATCTTCGACGAAGAAGGTCCTCAAAATGACATATCCGGCGCCGTGTCTAAACAGATCTATGGCAAGTCCACACCATCCTCTGCGGTAGATCTCATGCTCACTGACAAGGAACGTTTCAGACGAAAAGAAGGCGATTGCTTCATTATGCCACGAGCTTCCACGAAGCTGCTGCTGCCGCGCTTATAAGTATATCTGCACATACCAGAATGTCCTTCAAGATAATTTGTCTTTGCTCCCTGCTGGACAGATTCGCGAACCGCTGGTATCATGAGCGATCACGAGACTCTCCGCTGCTCCACTGATGACTGCACCCTTTCGAGCGCGCCCGGTATATTATGTACCAACGGCTCCGTTGCTTCCTTGCATAGTCGGCAATCGGAATCGGACGCAAGCAGGACGTCAGAATCTGCCTTTGTCTTACCCCCGAGTCGTCAGTTGAATGGCCAATCCTCACCCAAGTCCAGCTCCTGGACGTTGAGTACGACCTCTGATGCTCGGGCTGAAGACCCGCGTACTCTCTCGACGGTACGCCTGTGTCTAGCACACATAGGGCAAGTCGTGAACATTGGTACTGTAATCAACTGATCTCTAATCAGTTCTATAGGGCTGCTATGACATTATTTTTAGCCACGACGGACTCGGTAAGTGGAGGCTCCTTCACGACGTTAGACGCACTAAGAGTGAGTACCCTAGACTGTCGTTTCTACGAGTCTTCCGACTATAGCCAGCGACTTGCGCGCCTCACACAGCCAATATACCTGGGTAGGAGTCGCTTATCTGCTCACCCAAACTGCATGTCAGCCACTGTACGGGCGAATCTCTGACTTGGTTGGTCGAAGGGTGCGTGTCTTTGCACCGCCTCCATAGTATATAGTCTGAACGCGTCTCGGTGTAGTGTATTCTCTACTGTAGCATATTAATATTTGCCCTGGGCTCTCTGCTGTGCGGAATAGCTCAAGTATGCGTCTTCTCGTGCAAGTACGTTTCTGTCTAACCATTTTTACCAGAACATAACCTGGCTTATCGCCTCTCGTGGCGTTGCCGGGATTGGTGGTGGTGGTATAGTCTCCGCAGTGTGGGTTATAACAGCCGAGATTGTCCCCGAGCAGGACAGGGCCAAATGGTCCCAAGCACTCAGCGTAACGTGGAGTTGCTCTGCCGTAGCGGGTCCTCTCTTGGGCGGATTGTTTAGTAGTAGGTACCCTAATATCCTTGGAGAGGGCTGAAATCCGATCTATGCATAACTAACTCATTCCCCTCAGGTCGTTCCTCCTCCATTGTCAACTGGCGCTGGATATGTGAGTGTTAATAGCCCGAGAACCTCGCGCGGTTCCCAAGCTCATTCTGATTCCCAGTCTATCTCAACCTGCCAGTTTGCTTCGCGGCCTTCCTTGTCTTCGAATTCTCTCTGCGCCGAGTGCGGCTCGGCTCATCTGAGCAAGCTTCCTGGAAAGCGCTACGAGAGACTTTCGATTTTGTGGGCCTGTGAGTGCCTTTGAATGCCGCCATATTCAAGTTCAATGACTGTCCACAGCGTCCTATTTGTAGGGGGGACGGGTGCCATCATCTTAGGTCTGAGCTTCGGCTCGAGTAATGGATGTACGTCCTGCCACCACATTTCTCTTCCATCATTGACGCTTGTCTAGGGAAGGCGCTGTCGACCTTAATTTTAATAATTTCTGGCGGCATCCAGCTCGGCGCCGGTGCTATTTACGAAATATACACCAAGCGCGAGGCATTATTTCCTTCGGCGGCGTTCAAGAATCGTAGTGCCGGTATGAACCACTACTCCTCCCTTTGCCTGATTGGGTCTATGATCTTGGCAATCCCGTAGTCATCATCCTTATCATCACGTTTCTCCATCAATTTGCATTTAATGCAGGGACATACTATCTAGCCCTATACTTCCAGGTAAGTCGACGAAGCACGTTGCAGGCATTGAGGTAATCCTTACCCATTCTTTCTCGGTTCCCTTGGATAGGCCGTCAACGGGGCGACACCCGTGGGAGCTGGTCTCCTCCTTTTGCCCTATTCACTCGGTTCATCCTTGATTTCTATGCCTGCTGCTTGGTTCATTGGGTATAAGCAGTCAAAATCCCACAATACAAGCGGTCAAAAATGGGTGATTTGTCTTGGTCTAGCAATTTCGACATTAGGATTCGGTGGGTTCAAACATTAGTGCATGGGGTCGGTAAGTCTAGACTAACCGTATGGCAGGCCTACTGTGTCTACTGCATGGATCCTCTCCCAGATTGCTTCAGATTGTATGTCCGCTGGTTGCAGGTCTAGGAATCGGCATGCTGTTTCATGCCCCTCACCAAGTTTTCACACGAGCTCTACAATCAAAAGACTTGGCTTCCGGGACCAGCGCCTTCTTCCTGGTACGTTTCACTGGCGCCACCGCAGGTCTGGTATGTACATACTGGTTGTCAGGTTTATAACTTGCTTATAGTACAAAGGCCGTTGCAGGGGCGATATTCGATATTAGACTGTCGCACCTATTGCCCCAAGACTCTGCAATGCAGACATTGGGATCGTCATTTGACTTGCATCGCCTCAGTTCACTCCAGTCGACACCAGAAAAAATTGTGGTATTGCACGCCGTATCTCTCTCCATAAAGGTGTGTTACCTTCCTCTCAGAGAGAAGTTGTTGTTACGACGACACCATCAGAGTATATGGATCGTGTGCGCACCGTGCCTGGGTATAGCCATGATGGTGGGTGCATTGCTGCCACATTTTATGCGCCGTACGACGAATTAATGTCGCGCGCGGGTAGATGGCATTTTTCCTCCGCAACATGCCTATGCTCAAGGTTAAGTCCAGTCGCCATGTGAGCCGCGAAAAATATTCCGCCACAGTACCACCAGTGCTTTCTATGCGCCAGTCAAATGAAGCTGCTGCGTAGTCTTACATCAAAGCTTTCTATTTGTAGTTTATGATATCCTACCGAACTTTAACGACCTACATGCTCTCGTTGGTGCTCGAGGTGTAGCAGCCCTGTTTCGTGTAGCATTACCAACGTCTACTAATGTTGTGATCTTATTAAAATCTGTTGGGCGGACGCTGGTAGCCGATTATTCGCTCTTTCGGGTATCCACTCGACAGGAGGGGAAGCGTTTTGGACGAATTGCTATGTTCGCCCTAAATAGTGATGCTGTGAAAATTTGGAATCCGTCACACTTGCTATCGGTGTAGGAAATACCAACATCAAGCAATTTAGTAACAATGCAATGGAATGGGAATGCGGTACCAGCTCGATTTAAAGAACGTTACGGGTAAAGACACCGTCTCTTCCTGGAATGCGATAGTTAAACAAGGATGTTAAAATATTCCGAAGTCGATTATTATTAGCTTACACGTATTCAGCAGCGTGTCCTCTAGCGACCGTGCTCACACTCGAGAGAAAGAGAGGGCTCGCGCAATACCTTCCCATCCGCTCATTCCCAAGGACAGCAAGGCATCGGTTATCATAGGCTGCCAGATCGACAAGGGACCTGACCGTGCGTTAGTAAAGAACTTCTTCAAGTCGGGATTTGTGGGGCCGGTCGATCTCCCTGCTTCAATTCGGAGCATCTACCTATACATATTCCTCCCACACGCTGAATGGCAACTCATAGTGGTACTGGGGTAGCGGAGGAAGCGCCTCTGTATCTTGGACCCTCTATAACGGCATTTCGAGGGAACTATGTGGAAAAGGCCCGAAAGATACCGCACATGAGATACAGATGCGATCGATAGAGCGCTCGAGCCACGAGTCTTGGAACCGTACCTGGGTTCGAAAATAAGGTTGTTGAAACCGGCAGCAGGGAGACTACACCCTACTACACCCCAGTTCTTGGAGTCCCGCGCGAGAAACTGCTTCGCCGGCAGCAGTGCCCGAAGCTTACTGTTAGAGGTACAATGTATGTGATCCGCAGTAATTATAACCTCCTCGGGTGGCTTACTGGGCGGCAGCGATGCAAAAAATCCCGCATTGAGCGGTCAGGCGTAACGTGTGTACGCGCGCGGGCGATGCGTACTTGAAAGCCGGTACCGCGAAGCGTCTAGCCCATAAGGATTAGCTAGTATGATATCACTACAAGGTTTGCGATGCACCTACGGCATTCAGAGGGCTGATAGGAAGTCGGGATACACATAGCCGACAACCGTCGTCTGCTGTGCGAGCCATGACCGCGTCTTAGAGTGTACGTGAACGGGCTTGCGCATGTGGAATCCTGACGTGACACTGCCTGAATCAATGCCAACAATGAATTGAAGGGAGCGTTTAATTGTTTATCTTGGTTACTACAGGCGCCGCTCGTCTCTGTCTTCGGGCACCTTAGGCTTCAGCTGACCGCAAAGGGAGCGGAAGTACACTGGAACGAGTATTTCGGGAACATCACTGTACCTCTTGACTTTCCCTAAGCTGGATGGGAACATCTCAGCCACGCATATTCAAGTAGCTTCGCGAAGACCAACCTATCATGTCTCCACTAGAAAATGAACGTCGTGTACGCGGTAAACTGGAGAGACTTCGCTGAGACCCCAATGTCACGACTCTCCATGAGCATTCCATGGGTTTCCCTGGATATACTGAGGCTGGAATGCTAGTACCTAACATTCGAGCAACGACTATTGTTGAGACAGGCATCATCATTTATGAAGATCAATTGTGTCGCATGGCATAATCGCTGGGTTTTTGCGGAGCCTGATAGGATAAGACGTACTCTGGGAGACCCATTAGCTCATCCCGGTACAGACACCGAAGAGCACCCAGGTGCACTGGGACGCGAAAGACCTGCTCGCAGGGAACCTCTGTTTATGAGCGTGCGGCGGAGATTGTGGGTCGCAGGGTCCAATGGCCCTCTATCGTGCTATCCACGAATCGGGAGATGAGCCTGAGCGCCGATTCGCGATTCCAAACTCAAAAGTAAACAGATCACTAAGATAATAAATACATCGCCAGGAAATCACTTCACTCTGAATCAATACGGGGCATGTCGCACTCGAAAGAGCGTAGAACTCTTAATGGTAGCGATCTGGGTAGCGACGCACCAGCAGTCAAGCAACGATCCCGATGGTTGTAAGCATGATACGCCAACTCACTGATAGAATACAGAGTACTGAAAGTCCTGGCACGACGCGATCAATGCATATCAAATACTGCGATGACTTACGGACGAATTGCTGTCACCAAAGGGAACGTATATCATAGTATACTGAAGAAAGCGGCATCACTAAGCCTTCTGACATCTTGTGATGTCGACTGAGCCGCGGTCCTGCCGTCCTGCACTGATGGAATGACCCGTAAGGGAGAATCAAGTCGGCCGTGGAGAGCGCAGCCGGAGCTAGTACCATGGCCGTTCGTCGACGTTGTTTCTGTGTTCGCATTCCACTCCCAATGTCTGCGACACAGTCCTGGCAAGCTGCACAACCATGGAAGAAACGACTGTGGCGCAAATTCGACCCTGAATTTGACGGCACACGACCGTTCAGTTATCATCGTATTTGCCGAGCTGCTTGTTATCGCTTCCTTCTCCCGACCGCCATGATAGCCAACGCACCGCCAACTGTCTCCCCTCCGTTAATGACCCCAGGAGAGGTGCCGATAGTGCTAAAACGAGATTCATCAGGGAGCCGCAAAAAAGGCAGCATTGATCTCGGTCCAGCGCAGCCTGATGTCGCTAGATCTCGTTCTTCGTCGACTTCGAGTCTATCGATCCCCTTCCGTGAAAGTGATGCGGAGGTCGTTACGGTGGAAGGATTACCTCACGCCGATGTCGAGTTAAAGGCTAGGTGAGTATATTTCCCTTGATGAATACGCTACTTATGCTAGCCCAAGGCAAGCTAAGGTTCGCGAATAGAGTATGTCTCGGGTGGTCCATCGTATTGCGATCTTAACATCAGCTGATTACTCGACTCGTTTATGTGTTCACTGCAGGCAATACAAAACTGCCACCTTCGCCCAAACCCTTCTCTGCCTCCTGCGCACCTTGAACATACCATCGTGGTGTGATGGAGGAGCTCCGACGGACACCCTGATGATTCAGAAGGTGTCAGGTTCTTTGACTAATGCCGTTTTCTTCGTCTCTCGGTCAGGATCCCGCACACTTCTCCTTCGCATTTACGGCGCCTCCTCCGCTTCCCTGATCTCTCGCCCACGCGAACTTCATACCCTTTACATACTCTCTTCGAGGTATCGCATCGGACCGAGAATTTACGGTACCTTTGGGAATGGCCGTGTAGAGGAATACTTCGACTCAGTTCCTCTGACGGCAGAGGCATTACGAGACCCTAAAGTCAGTCGCTGGATTGGTGCTAGGATGGCAGAGCTCCACTGCGTGGACGTGGATTTCATCGAGGGGACGTCTCCAGATGCTGCCGCAAAGGGAGGCCATTGGGAAATCGCGGCTACCAAGAATTTCCGCTCTTGGCTACCAGCGGCTAGGGAGGTCTTATCCTTACCCGCTGTCTCCCCTCGTTTGAGAGAAGAACTGGACCTCGACACTTTCGAGCGAGAATGGGAACGATACATGCTGTGGCTGGACAGCTATGAACACAAGAATGGTGCGAGCCCCAGGGTCTTCTGCCATAACGACACGCAGTACGGCAATCTACTCAGGTTGACGTCTGTCAAGGAGGGCATGTCTGAACACCGACAGGTAGGCTGTTTTTATGTGCATCCTAGTACATTGCTGAAGCGTGGCTACCCTACAGATTATTGTAGTCGATTTCGAGTATTCGTCTGCAAACGCTGCTGCGTTCGACATGGCTAACCATTTCCACGAATGGACAGCTAATTATCACACGACCACACCGCATCTTCTCACTCCGTCGCTCTACCCCACTGTGGCACAACGCCGAAACTTCTATCAGGCCTATCTCTCGCATTATCGCATGAATTCTTCCTCTTCGGAGATGAAAGACGTAGAAGAGTTTGATCTGCATACACTGGACTCCCAAGTTCAGGCGTGGAGTCCGGCTTCTCATGCTTTCTGGGCTGTGTGGGGTATTGTCCAAGCTCGCGAAGATCTGGAGAATGGAGAGCGCGAACCCGAGTTTGACTACATCGGATACGCCAAGTGTAGAATGGACGGGTTCCGAAGGGAAGTCCAAGCCCTGTACGAAGGAAGGCGTTAGCTTCGGGCGTTGCTCGTTGTATGTATCACAGCATACGCTTGCCGACTTCATGTTTGCTCATGCTAATCAGTCTTGATCTCTCGTGGAATAGATACCCTCCACGTTACACATAGGTAAACTACTGTAGCGAGTCAATCTATTGCATTTAGGACAACGCTTGATAGCTTGAAATTCTCTCCATGCACGATGAGCTAGGAATTTCGTATAGAGGGATCGTGAAAGTCATGTACAGGGCGACAGTAGAGTAGAGACTTGGAAATTGGGATGATCAAGACAATAATTCAGAACTAATTTCAGTGAAGATCAGATAGGAGATGATAACAAGTCGACGTGACACCGGACGGAAGGCGACAGAAACAATGAGCTGATATTAGGGGATGCAGCGGACCTCCAAGACGTGAAATGTAGTAGAAATGCATAGCTCCTCCTCCGAACTTGAAACACGTAACAGAACAACCATGAGTGGTAGAGTCCGACCAAACAATGAAGTCATAATCATAAGTCAGAAGGAAGGAAAGTGTTCATGATACTAGATACCGAGAGCCTGCGCACGACCGCCCGCGGGATCCCTTCGTCATCTTCAACATTCATATCCATGACTGTTCCGAGAGACGTGAGCCGCCAATGGGTACCTCCGAGGTAGCCCAATGGCCACCAGCCTTCATCTCCACATTAGGGCTCCCGGGGTATTGTGCAGGAGCAGCCAAGTGACTCCGGGATAGACTGGACCAGTTGCCTGCACTACCGGATCGCATGTGGCCATTGACGCGTGGCGCAGCCAAGGTACTACTAGTCATCCCGAAAGCGGAAGGGTGGGCAGTGGCCGGTGCGTTGAAGTCGAGGTCAACTTCAGTTCCATTGAAAGAGTGACGGACGTTCGGGTTAATCTGGGTATTCTTCGGCATACGAGGCTGTAAGGTCATCAATACACGGTCAATGGAGTTAATGTCAATTGATCGTTACCTGAGGTTGACCAAGGACCTCGGATCTTCCATTTTGCCTCCCGAAGTCAGGGCCAGCCGTGACGGGCCCAGGGGACATGGCATTGGCCTGCGGGTTAGGGTGCATAAAGTTGCCGTTGGTGGGGAACGTCGGGTACGCGGATTTGTTCTCTTTGGCCACATTGGCGCCCAGGGACGAAGTGTCAAGCTTCAACGAACCGAGCGGGGGACGACCGGTCATCTGCATGGGAGAAGATATAGCGTCCTCCTGGCTGCGTTTCGCGGAAATTCGGGCGAGAATAGACATAGATGCATCGTTAGGGTCACTGTTAGAACGATCACGGCCACTCGTATTGGCCGGCGGCGGGGGCACGTCCGCGTTCGGACCACCTGGTAACTCGGTGTGGATGAAGCAACACCTTTTCCCATAAGGGCATGAACCTGACACCCAGAATGTCTGGAATCCACAATCAGAGGCGAACAAGGAATGAAAGCGTAGCATTGCGTACCCTGCAGATCTCCGTTTTGTACTGAATAGGTGACAAAGTAGTATCAGGACAATGCAACAAAAGCGACGGGAAGATCACCACATACCTTCGGATGACGCGGCACCTTCCGTATCTCCTCCTCCCCATGAGCGAACTGACACTTGGTCCCATAGCGACAGGTACCCTTCTCTTCCCAGCTTCGACACAGTTCCGTCTTATACAATCCAAGCTTTCGGTTATTAGCGCTAGGGCCATTGGTATTTGACGCAGTCGTGGTACCAGAATCACTCCCCACGCCGGTAGAACCGCCCGTGAGATTCACCGCGGCGGCACCGACAGGCAGGCCCTGAGGCAAGACCCCCGGGTACGCACCTGTATACTGCGCCTGCAGCTGTGCAGCAGCTAAAGCCTGAACTGTGGCCAAATCAGGTGCAGTCGGGGCATACATATCTTGCCGCGGGAAGAACTGATTGGCGTACATGGCAGACAAAGCAGGGTTAGCGGCTGCCATCGCAGGATACATGCCAGGAGCAGCGGCACCTGCACCTGCGAAGGCTTGCATGCTGCTCGACAAGAGCGCAAGAGCGGCAGGATCACGAAGAGATGCACCTGGGTCCGATGCCGAATGCTGATGGGCTTGTCGGGCAACGCCATGTTGCTGCTGGACCCGCGCCACCGCTGGGTGAGGCTCAGTCCCATGAAGCATCATCTCGTACATCTGTTGCGCGTTGCCGAGGTTCATGGGCGGAATGTGAGAAGGCTGGGGAGCGGGGTATGCAAAGTTAGTGGGACTGGGGAGCAGACCCTGCGTCTGGGGAGCAAAGCCACGCTGAGGCTGAACATAGTTGGAGAGTTGGCTCGGGACATTAGGGAGACCGCCATTGGGCCCGCGACCTTGGAATTGCTGCTGTTGCTGCTGCTGCTGCCTGGACGGCCCAGAGGTCACGACATTCGACTGCTGGGCATATCTCGGCATGCTATACTCGGGCTCTTCCTGACGAGAAGGGGAATTGTAGTCCTGGCCGGACGGCGTCGACGATTGTTGCTGCGGACGCAACAGAGTCGGGTACGCGGCCACAGTTGGATACATCGGGGTCTCTCCTTGATTATTCTTACCATTTGACGCCTGCCGCTGCTGTTGCTGTTGGCCTGATTGCTCCCCAGGCGACCCTGGATGCACCGGACTGGCGCCAGCCTGCTGCAACCTCCGAAGATCGGCGGCCGACAGACCTCCGCTGTACGAATGAGGGCGCTCTCGGGTCTCGTTAACCTTGGGGGGCGCCAAAGCAGGAACGTGAAGGGTCTGACCCGCTACAGACAACACCGACGTTTGGCTCGAGACGGATGTGTCCGTGGAGGAGCCGCGAGAGTGTGAGGCCAGGTTGAGGTGCTGGTCAGATGAGTGCGGCGAAGAGGAGTCGACGCTAGCACTGGACGACGTGTCTAGCGGGCTCGGTTCATGATACTGTCCCATTCCAGCATTGTTCATCTTGGATTGTGGCGGTGTACGCATCTGGCCATCTTCATTGGACCGTCCCGCGTCTGTCCCAATCTTCAATCTCATGATCTCATCCGCTAGGTCCCACTCCGCCGGGGAGATATCCGAGTCGATGAGCTGGCCAGCATTGTTGAAGCGCCAACGGTTGTTGGTGTTGCTCCCGACGACTGTCCGGTCGGACGCGAGTTCCGAGTTGTCACTCGGAGAAGCGCGCTGGTGCTGGTTCATGTACGGAGAGGGCTTCCGCGACATCCGGGAGGAATTCTGGTGAGAAGCAGGAGCGAGTGAATCCTGGTTTTGACGGCGCTACCACAGCATCAGGTGATCAGCATATGCTCACCGCGATACGGAGTCAGAAGGAATTTACCTCTTGGCCTCGGACGGGATGCTCGCGCGTCTGGGACCAGTCAAGAGTGATGGTCGTTTTTGCTTGGTTTGCGAGGGGAGAGAGAATTTCTTGGGAGGTAGAAAAGGAGTAATTGCCGCCCGCCGGTGATGCCGTAACAATTTCTTGCATTTAAACTGCGCGTGATGGAGTCAGCAACGAGGCCAGTGGGGGCAAGCAGCCGCTGCACGTACCAGTTAACGATAAGTTGAGTGCTTCGACAGTGATTGCTTGATAATAAACGATATTGAAGAGATATGAGAGAATAATCAAGTGCTGAGAGAGGAAATGATGCTTGATGACGATGAGGGGTACGATCCGGACGTTGCGAGTATAGGTGAAGAATAGATAGCTCCTCTACCGGCCGTTGCAGGGCTGTTCGACAGACAAGAGACGAGGCCGTCTAGCAAACAGAAGACTAGTAGATAGGTATAAAAAGGTGAAGCAGACAGCACGTTAGGAGGTCGTGAGGTTCTGGACGCGTGTACGGAGCAATTCTTGATGATACGTTCGAGAAATGGACGCAGAAAACGGGCTGTAGAAATGAGAAAGAGCAGACAGAGCGATGCGGTATCGAAGGAACACTCTGGTACGAGTGCAAGGAGGGAACGGCAAGGCAGCGAGCTGCAAGGGTCTGATTGCAACGTGCCCTTCGCGCGTCGGTGATTGCCAATCTTTTATGAATTGGCCCCAGCCTTGCCCCGTCCGCACGCCGAAAGCTCGTGTATCTCTTCGACTGTTATATTTTACTCTATTCCGGCTGCAGCTTGTTTGTATTCCAGAGACACTGCCGAGTATACGCGAGTTATTGTGCTGCTCTTGCAGTCATCAAACACAGGGAACCCGCCACCACAACGCCGTCGGTTCCCACGCTACCCCATCAGGAAGGAACATGTCCCCTGCGGCGTTCATGCACTGGTATACCCCTCAAATGCCGCAAAAGAGGCCTCTTGAAGTTGTTACTCATACAAACTTGTACACAGTGCTCAGCATTTTTTTCCAGGAGGGATCCTGCTCAATCTGCTGTTTTGTAACCTCGGCGCTTATGCGCCTTTAGATTCGGTCTTTTATGGATGATCTCCCGCTTACCCCTGCTTCTAGGATTTTGCTTCCGCTTACACGTTGGGTCGGGGTATCAGAGGCGAGTAATGGAACCAGTGAACGGTGGGATATATCCTGCGCTGAGCACCTGATATACATCCGCCGAGGTCTTCGATCAGTTTACATGTAACCACTGCAGCTCCATAGCTAATGGCAAACTCAATTCGATCCATTACGTTCCTAGTACGGCGCACCTGCACGCATCTATCATGATCGATCGCTTTGACTCGCCGTACAGTCCTCACAGCACGTAAGTAGTTCTACTCGTATCCCACAGGGGCTGATACAACGATACCTCTAATTATCGTTTATGCACGACTCCCCCATTCGCTGCATTGGAGCTGCCCCCATGTCCAAATGTTTTGTGCCGACAGAATACCGCCCAGTCGGTTAGATACCCTCGGCTCACGGGATGCCTCCCTGTATCATCGCTGGGTATTATTCGTGGTGCCTTTTGCCTCATGTTCTCTGAATTAATCCACGAGCCACCGGTGCTCTTCCCCGACTAAACATTGGTTATGGTTCCAACGGCATTCTTCTCTCACCAGCGCGTCGATTCCTTTCCTGGTTGGTTCTGGGCTACCCGTCACTCGAGAGTATGGAGATTTCATCCTGCCAGGACAATGATATCTGATCTCGACAAATGGTATTGCAAATGATAATCTGATCTGGCCAGCGACTTACGTCTAAACCGAGGAAGTGCGGTCCGCCGTCAAGGACTCACCACACCGGCTTTCTACGCTCAAGTCAGGACCCCAACTTCTGGTGTTCTTTCATCACCGTCCCACTGGCCGTGACACTGTGCTCCGTTGGACAGGCCTTCATCTCCACCCGCAGTACTATATACGTATATCGATGCCGCAGATACTCAATCTACGGGCCCGAATCAGTGAAACTGCTTGGCTCGATACTCCTCAGAATCTCCGCTGGAACTGTCGTCAGTCACTTCAAAGGATCTGCAACGTCTTATCATGTACATTCGCAGTCGGAAGAATCTTGAAAAGACCCTGCGGAATCATCGGTCGCCAAAGTCTATTCATCTAAATATCTCAGCATTCCTCGGAGAAACTCAACAATGAGGAAGCCTTCTAGGTGTCCGCGCCGAAACGCAAGGTGGCGGATCCGTGATGCCTCTACCTCATAATTCACCTACCTTGGTCATCGACGCAGCTGGTCATCGATCCTCTGCACTCGTTGCCAATAGGATCTGATGCGCGACAGGAAGACGAAAATAAGCACACTGAGGTATCCTGGGGCGACTCATGAGCTGCTCCCTCGGTATTTGAAGCATACTCGGGTGCACACAACAATATTCGGGACGGGGAGTTCCCAAGCGTCAGAACAAGTAGCTGGAGCGAGACATATTCTAATAACACGGCGATGTACAATAGATCAAATGCGGTGCATCAAGTACCATTCTCATGCATCTGCCGGTTCCGAGGTTAGTTTTCCAGCACCACGGAGACGAGACCAAGGCGTACAGTACGAAGTGCCGACTAGCATAGTAGACAGGTCCTGAAGCTGATTCTCGTTGAATTCTTGCTGATCCTTATGCCAAGTGTCCTGATGCGTCTGGATGGTTTGGAACACGATGAACCGCCTTGAAGTCGCACTATGAGCAACAACTACATACCTTCTTAAACTCAGAAGCACACTTCCGGATTGTCGTGGATACAGGTGGAGGGTCAGTCGAATGTCTTGCTAAGACTTCAGGCATGTGTGAACACACAACAAAAACTCGAATCCTATAGAACATACCTTCGGTCAAAGGTGGCATCCACTTCTCAACGGAGTACGGGAAGCTCTCTATCAGGGCACATATCCCAAGGATAGCTGAATGGAGTGTGCGTAAGGAGTCAGCATACGAAGGATCTTGGCGACCCGGTAACTTGGTTTTCCTCGCTAGGCTGACGAAGCGATTCTAAAGGCAGGCCATCTGTTAGTTTCTCGACACGTCATGATCGCCCTATCTTACCTTCAAAGGCACGATCTTCTGCCTTTGGGAGCACCTCACTAATCCAGATAGCACCTTCGCACTCATCTCTCGGACTTCGACATTCTCATCCGCCAGACAACTGAGTAATACATCCATTATGCCCGAGATTGAGCGGTCGGATATGTTGAGGAGATTTCGGAAGTAGAATACCACCAGACTCGGGAGGACGTTGAGTCGAATTCTCCATGACTATACGTCGGTTAGATCAAAGCACCCTTAACACTAGGGTCGACATACCTTTGCGGATTTCAGCGCGTCAATGTAGACTTCCAGAATTCGGTCGATGTACTCTGCAGGAGGCGTGACGGCGGAGAGGACATATAGGACTGCGGAACTGTAGGTCTGCAACTCTGAACTGTCGCTAAGCTCCGTCATTCGGAGGATCTCTGGCCTGCAAAAAAGTCAGCAACGCGCGGGAAGAGATGCGAACTTGCTTACAACATGGCAACGATATAAGGAAACATCATGCAGGCCTGCGGGCCGTAAGATGACACCCAGATCCATTGCAACACTACAGAGACTCGTCAGGACACAGTAGTACGCCCTTTGGCTTCTCTCACGTACAAGTCAGCCCGACTTTATCGTACTATCCACACAACTGTCAGGATTGAAGAGGGAACAGCAAGGAGAGGATCCCACCTGTGATTGGCTCACTCGCGGTGGCGGTAACCGCTGTTCTTTCCATACCGGAAGTTGCTGAATTATCCCTTGTATACGGTCAAAATATGGAGCTCCCCTGATACAACTTTCAACGACGAACGAGGACTTCAATGAGATAAATTCTAACCGTATAAGTAGAGGGTCGTCAGACTTCGAGCACGCATCAACAAATGCTTCTACAGAGAGGTATGAAGGCTCCCATTTGGTCCTCAATAGTACATAGAGCAGTTGAGCAATATGTGCCCTCATCTGTAAAGGTGTTGAGGGCAGGAATAAGCTCCACGATGATTGATATGCTCACTTCTGCGTAGCCCGTATTGGCGTTTGTGATACAAACGTCGAAGTAATGATCCGCCATGCTCGAAAATCGAGCCCCAAGACAGTCTACCAAGACAGCAAACATGGACAGGGTCTTGCTCACTGAAACGTAGGTTCAGCACGAGACTCTCAACAAGTCTATATAAGGCCTTACTTTCAAAGGCCGAGTCGCCATGGAATTCTAGCGGTAGGCTTAATATCCAATCTACTAATGGCTGATTTCGGCGAGGATCCCAATCAGCCAACTGCAGCTATAGGACAACCCATCAGTTTTGGCGACTGCGTCGAGGGAGAATAGTCTCACGGTTAATACGCTTTCCCAGAAGGGAAGTGTATCAGGTTTGATCTGAGCAAATATTGTGCCTATACGGGCCATGCTCCATGTCCATAGGCGCTCATGCAGCGATCTTGGCCAATGTTTTGACCCTAATACCCATCAGGAACGAGAATTGTACCAGAGATATAGGATTGATATACCTCGCCAAAGGCCAACCAGAAGTTCCCCTCCAGCCCTCTGCTTGAACTTGTCTGGGTCGGACAAAAGAGGATCGAGGGTGGATAGAATTGCGTCAAGGTTGCTACCGCCCAGTATTTTTGCTATAATGAGGAGTCAGACCTGCCAATCCGTTACTTCACAGAAGACGAACCAAGGGTCTTGGCGAAGACAGCATTGTCTGAGCGGAGATCCGTGGTACTTCGATCTTTATTTGACTCTTGGGCCCAGAGCTGCGCTAACTTCCCGAAGTATGTCTCATCCGCCACTTGATCCATCGCCTCAAGAGTGGCCTTCGATGCGGGTTCCCATCCGAGCAAGGAAGACCCCTCTGTTATCGGGACATACGCCTTGATGTCCCTGGTCCAAGCTATAAAGCCTGTAGGGATCTTATCCACGTATAGAGCACTACAGAGAGAGAATCTCTGAGACCACTATATATGCAGACGAAAGAGACACTTACACGGGAGAAATGCCAGGGGGCATCGGGTATTGCAACGATTGAAAGAGTTGCACTCCATTGTCGACCACGACTCGCCGCTGCACCGGACTGCACCATTGCTCCAACCAGAGTTGTTCACTGGATTGGGCATACGTGCGCATCTTGATGAAGGTAGAAAGCTTCACCACCGCTCTAGGCAAGAACGTAAAATCCATGCACTCAGGTACACCGAAGTGAGCTTACCGCTGTGCGTATGTTCGGATGGTAGGATGGGGGCTGATCGTATTCTCAAGAAGAAATCTGGCCAAGGCAGGGGATGTATGCACGTCTCGCCGAAGAAGGCCGTACATGAATCTGATGGCCATCTGTACGTATCTCCACTGACGAAAGCATAAAAATGGAATAGCGTTGCGAAAAATAGAGACGCACATGGGTTGTGCCTTTGAGGGCGAGATTCAAGATGGATGATACCTGGACCAAGTCAACATTGCTTGTCCGTGTCTCTGCCCGCGACAACTCACAGTCTCTTGATAAGCTGCCTCTCTCTGCGAGGCTCGTTTGTCGACTTTACTCATAGCTTCTTGTAACAGCTTCTGATCTGTGAATGGCGAGGCGAATTCCGTCTGCAGGTCTTCAAGCCCAGATAATACGCCCGAGGTATCTTCCTTATATGCGTCGGTATGTATAGCCTCTTCCGACAGATGAACGAGGGAATCGTGCGCGAGACTCGCAACAAGTTGTTGTATGGAAGGCTGAAATGAGTTCAGTATAGCGCCACTGGAGAATTGATATACTGATATACAAACCTTTTCCTGATGCTGACATTCTAGCAGGGCAACCAGGTATTTACCGTGGAACATTCGATCTGCATCAACAGTTAATTCGAGGTAATCGAATTATTATTACTGTGAGCACACCTGCCAGTGCGTATGATGCTGCTTCCAAGTCAGTCAAGCATGCCGCGGAGAGAATATTGTGCCATACCGATGCCTTTATTCCATAAAACATACAGAGCTCCTTTCATTCTATCGGGGTCGTTCCCTCTCGTGAGTGCACCGAATAGCGTCGGCAGCATGAACCGTGTTGAGCGTACGTAATACTAATAGAAAGGTCCAATGCTCGGTAACTGGAGACGAACCTGATGATACGACTTACTCCGCAGATATTGTGTAAAATAGCTTGGGATTGTCTTTGAGAAAATATGAGCCGCGTTGGTGGATGGCACGGCAGTCACTCACCTTCTTACCCTCGTGTAAGGCGACAAAGAGAACTCCACCAAATCCAGTAGAAGGGCATCATCGAGTTCAGAACGGCGCCGATATAGCGCATGCATATAGACTCGTCCGGAGTGATAGACTTGAGCCCGCTTTATCCACACCAGACGGGAATTTTGCCGTTGCTTTGGCCACATCCGATGAAGCCTTCGGGGATTCATTAGCGGACGAAACCTAGGCAAAGGAAGCACTGACTCTCTGGCCTGAGCGAAGTTCTTCTGCAGGGAATCAAAATTGCCTCTGGTCATCCCATAGTTTAAGAGGAAGACATCGATCGACTTCGCAATGGCTATCACTACGTCAATATGATCCTCTCCCTGTTGCCCTTCTCTGAAGGCCAGAGCCGCACGATGGATGATATGGCCGTATCGAGCGCGTGCTGCGAGGACTTTACCGTACCTAGGATCATTGGGATTGGTAAGGGTGAATCCCGCATTCACATCTAGTGGTGTCACAAGAAGATCGGCAACTTCGGTTTCGCTTTCGATGCAAGGATTTACGACATCTTTGGCCTCCTCTTTATAGAACGTGGGCAAACCACTCCAGATGGACCTTGCCACGTTGATATACCTGCCCAATTCATAGTTAGACGAGGATCTCGGAGTTGGGAATGACGGCTTACCGACAGAAATCGTTGCGTGAGACATCATCCCATGTTGCACCGGGCTCCAGGAGCGCTTCCACCTTGCTGAGAGCATGTTCACCAATGGCATCCACAATATCGAGAATGAATTTGATTTCATCGTCCCCGGGGACTACAAAATTGTGAGACCACTCCTCGAATATACGGATGGTATTGCCTACCGTGCCACTCGATTTCGACATCCTTGGCTTGATAGAGCCGGCCCCAGTGAACGTTATGGTCTTGATTGAAAGCTGAAACCAGCCAGTTATAGACGTAGCCAACTTTGGATAACATCTCACCATACCTGGATCATTCCACTCGGCAGTGTTCACAAACCGATTGTTGAGAGGATACACCCCTCCCAAGGTATGGAGAATCCTGGTAATGAGACGTCCCGTACTGCTGTACCCACGCTCGTTCTTGGTCTTCTCCACCAGCAGAGACAGTAATTGGAGAACTTCCTGCCTATGTTTCAAAATCTTTGGAATGTGGTTTAATAAAGGGGATAGAGCTCTACAGTAATGCAACGTACCGCGGAGCCACCGTAGCCCAGGCAACCCCGGAGGATTGACAGATCTGGGGCGTTGTCAAAATCAGGCGGTCGACGGCAGTGACTGAAAGAAGCTTACTCCAGTGCAGAGTGGTGTCTGAGGGTATAGGCGTATGTGCCGAAGTCGTCCTCACGCTAGATGCGCCATGCTTTAGCTCCTCCTTAATCTGCATGGCGCAGAATGGAAAGAATTTGTCCATGGTCTGCTGTGGCTTCACCCGAGCAAGACAGGCAACAAGTTGTCCGAAAGCCCTGACCGCATTGCTCTTCGCGTTAGTAGTTCCGTACTCATATACCAATTTCAGCACCAGGTCGAACAGAGAGTCAGACAGGTGCAGGCAGACTACGTCCAAAGTACTCTTGATAGACTTTAGCACGCTTTCTTCCTGTTTACCCCCCGTGGTGCCCTTCTTTCCACCTTCTTCCGGCAGATTCTCGTAGAGCGCGAGGACTCGACGGAACAGCGAGGTCACCCAATCTGCAAAGGGACAATAGAAGCATTAGAGCAGAACGGTCAGATATTTGCGGGACATCATACCGGCGAAAGCAGCTGTGCTCTCTCTGACAAGAGCTCTCTCTTCCTCTCGGTCCACCGCAGGTTCGGTGGAGTCAAGATTATCTGGCAGGCGAGTATCCCCGTCAACATCCATCAACTCCTCGGGCGGTGCGTCACTTGTTAGAGGCAGTCCCGATTGGTGCATTGAGAGATCACCGATCTTGATATGCTGTACTGTCGCCACGATGAACATGGACGCACAGACGGTCTTGATATGGTCGTTCTGAAAGTCGCGCGACAAATCGGCGGTCAGCAGTGGCAATGGAGCGTGTCAGAGTGGGACGAACCAGATCAATTCCTGGCAAGCACAGCTCGAGCAGGGGCACTACGTGCTTTTGGCCACCAAGCCAGATATTCTCGGAAACAAGAGGCAGCGAGACACCTGAGAGCATACTCAGAACAGCTGTCGTCCTGTGTGTCTCGTTCACGACCTCCAGCCCTGAATAGGCTCGGTCCAGTAAGTCGGGCATGATAATCTTCGGTTCTAAGAAAGCCAGTGCACGCAGGGTGCCCTGGGAATAGCTCATCGATATCTGATCTTTCGAGAACATAGCCAGGAGCGCAGGTGTACGGAGCGTATTGACGAACGCGCGCCGGATAGCAGGAGTGAGCCTCTGCGCCTATTACACACTCGTCGGTGAGGACGAGATTTCATGAGAAGAGATAGGACATGACCATACCACTGGGGTCTTACAGCTTTCCTGCTGTTCCTCGTGCCAGCGTTTGCTAAACTCGCTGGCCAACCGATGTATGAAGCTTGTCAGCTGAAAACGGTGAGTATTTCATACAATATAAATGCTGTCCCTACTTACGCTCGTGGTCCATGGTCCTGAATTCGATGGATGGAAATAAGACTCGGTGCTAGTGATAAGCCGATCCAGAGTGTCCAAGGCTCTGGATCCAGCTATGTATCCAGCTATAGACTCCGCGTCTCCTTTACCCTTAGGCGTAGCATTGTCCTGACGAACAGGACCGTCCACAGACATCGAATATACTATCATCTTCGCAAGAGCACCTAAAAGCGAACTCAGCTGTCGCGGGAGAACTTACCAGGCTGTACACGTACTTGGCCTACTGATCGACTTCTTGATCCGCAGGGATTGTCTGTCAGCCATGGAATCGGCGTGCCCTCCCGTTGTACTGGCACCCTATAGACATTCAGAAATGCTGCGATGATAGGGACATCAGAAACCGCTCGTGATACTCACCCTTGTGGCACCAACGGGGACGTCTGGGTTGAGTCAGATATTTGAACGACTCTCGGCGGTCTAAACGGTGCTTACTCATTGAACCTAAAGCTTTGCCCATGAGGAAGGTCCACTGGTCTTGTGTCCAGATTCCTACATCTTTCCACTCGGCGCCACCTTCTTCTCCAGCATCGCCTGCTTTGCCCGCGACGTGTTCTTCGGACAGATCACCGATCAACTCGAGAAGGCGATCATCTACGACGGTAGAGTTGAAAGCTTCCCAGATCTTCAGCAGTGGGGGCAGGTACAAAGGACAATGGGTGGGCGGCATGAAGGAGGTTATCACAGGAATCATTGTAAGGTATGTCTGTACGGAGTTCATGGTTACTCGGTGGACTCGGGCAACAGCTTACTGCAGTACGCACATCCTTGGTGAACAACGGTAGGAACGTGGAAAGCATGTTAGGTATCTCCGAAGCGGGGTAGTACCGCTGACAGAGTTCCGCGACATATAGCAGGATGTTGATGACATTGCGCCTGGCACATAACTCAGCAGTGGCATCATGCAAGAACAATGAATTAGATACATACGAGGAGTCCTGTATCCGTTTCTTCGGCCACAACTCCCTCTGGAGAACTTTCCACAAGGGCTGCCAAGATAGTTGGAGGTCTTCCGCCTCCAACTTACGTTTCATACCGGGCTTGTTCGAGAGCAGACGGGAAAGCATATCGGCCCAGCTACGGATGACCCGTGCTTCTATCCCAGGTAGTAAACAGAGCTCATAGTATAAATGTACCATCTTGGCTCTCAGGGATTTAGAGATGGGATACCGCATAAGTAACCAGCTACGATGTGAATGATCCAGTCAACACAGTGGCGATATGCGACGGCGACTACGAAGGAACAGTACCATTGTAACATTCCATCCCACGTCGTCAGTACCAGCCAGTTCTTCGTCTTCGCACATATATCAATTCTCCCCACAATGTAGGCCAGTTTAGATTCCATGTCCTGCACGGATTCACACTCGTACGGCACCGAGTCCAGGTACGTGCGCAGGGCGGCATACTGCTGTTCGGTGGCAGTCTCTTCGAGTTCAGGGGTGTCTATGGATGGTGTTCCCGTGCTGTACATGTCGTCGTCGTCCATGGTGCCGCCAGGGTCAGTGGCGAGATCGACTTTGAAGAAGACGGCTAAGCTCTGTGTGTCCATGCTCGTGATCGATATTCTTCTTGGGATAACGAAGCCTGCTCACCTCTTATAAGCAGTTCCGTAGTAATTACGCGTCCCTTGGAGGTGACGCGTCTGTGGTCAGTGATAATGAGCAGAGGGACGAGACGCGTAAGGCAGCTTGGCCCGGTACCGCCTTGACGTTCTTTAGATCTACTGCGTCCGATTCCCCAGTCACTTCCACGTGGCGTGGCCGACGGCTATATCACACATCGAGCAACCGATAATATGACACGCGGTGGCATTCAGTCCCATATGTCAATACAATATTGTGAATTCCACACAACCACCATATACAGTCATATACTCCCCATATGGGAGCTGAGCCACAGACGATCCCCTACAACGGTAATGTCAGGGAATATCAAATAGAAACAAATGCATTACCATATTTGAATATCAATTTCCGCAGATATACCCAGTGATAGAGCAAATATGGATAAATATATGGAACAATGGGGAAGTCCGGTTTTTGGCCTGATACAGTACAATGAATCATAGCTAAAATATCAAAGCACATCTCGGGTTGATAGCGAATCCGGAATATGGATGCAAATAGCGTAACACATAGCATAAAGGTGCGATATACCTGATTCGGGATCGTCCGGTATATAATCGGGCCGCCGACGGGCCGCCAGTGGCTGCATCGGCAAGCCACTCAATAGCCGGCGGCGGCCCACCGGCGGCTAAGAGCGGCTGGGAGAGCGGCTCGCAGCCTGGGTACGG